ACTCCCTCGCCATCTCCCCCACCTCCCTCGCCATCTCCCCCACCTCCCTCGCCACCTCCCCCGCCTCCCTCGCCGTCTCCTCCACCTCCCTCGCCATCTCCTCCACCTCCCCCGCCACCTCCTCCACCTCCCTCGCCATCTCCCTCACCTCCTTCGCCATCTCCGCCACCTTCCCCACCACCTCCCTCGCCTCCACCATCTAGCCCACCTCCAGCCCCACGTCCGCCGCCATCACCATATCCGTCCCTGGACCCGCCGCCTCAACGACCTCATTCACCACCCTCACCCACGCGACCTTCCCCGCCACCGGTAAAGTCACCGCCACCAAAGCCTCCCTCGCCGCAACCAAAGCCTCCTTCGCCGCCCAGACCACCGTCACCACGCCCACCCAGCCCACCCAGCCCACCAAAACCAACACCCCCAGGGCTCTGACAAGGTTGAACCAGCCGCAGCCCTTGTTGATGCAGCTCCTTTATGTCGCTCTGCTGCTGAAGGAAGCGTCAAAGTTTTGTCGCCCTCCTCCCGTTAGCATCCGCCACGTCGAGATGCGCACATCCCACCCCTATCGACTAAGGCGTGTGGTTCCTACACAACGCTCGATGCATGTAGTCCTTCGCCTGTAAGAAATGCAACAACTCAATATCGAACTATATATCTGTGTCCTGCCTGTATATGCTGTAGAGTTGGTTACAGCGATGGAAGCAGAAGCTGGTGTCATTTAGGGCTGGCGGTGGTGAGCACGGAAGAGGCTAGGGCTGAGAGAGCCAAGAGAACGACAGGATCTTCGGGAGGCGATGCTTTCCAGATGGAGCATTACCGGATGGTGGATGTCTACCTCTCGGCGCTGTGTGTGGCCACATGCGTGTGTGCGTGTATGTGTGTACCTTATCGTCGCTGCTGGCTGTGCATGCATATGTATGTTTGTGCCCTGGTTGGCCAATTTACCGGTGGGGTGGAAAGGGGGCCCGGCAGGGCAAGCAAGCAAAGTGAAGTCTCAGCGCTCGTGGAGTTGAAGGAGTGACGTCGATGCTCCGTTGATGCTCCTCAGCTCATCCAGTGCGAACGAAAGAACACGGCGATATCGAAGGGCAGTGAGGGTGGGTAACCAAGCTACGACGAAAGGAGGAGGTGGGACGTTCGAAAGGCAGGCTGGACTTTTTATCTGCTTCTGTGCGAGCTGTAGCTGTCGCTGTGGCACCCCAGCAACAAATCAAAGCATCTAGGCATCAAGGACCCCGACCACCCCAAATGGTGACGTCTCGATGCAGGAGAGCCACACTGAAATGTTTCACATGCACATGCCGTGTGTAGTTCCGCACGCATCGACATCATTTTCCTAAAAATAAGTCATCATAAGATGTAGCAGCATGCGGCACACCACACTTAACCCCTCTGCCTTGAACGACGAAGGAGATCGTTGTCCTCCTTGGGTTTGTCCATCACTATAGTGTCAAGAGTTCCTTTGCGCATGGAAGAGATAACTGTTTCCCAGCTCCTCACGAGCCAAGTAACATACAAGCTTGCACGCATATGTGCACGCATATGTGCACGCATATGTGCACGCATGCATGGCAGAGGCAGTCGGCAAGGCATATGTGCAGATGGGTTCTAGCTTTCAGGTGGCATTTATATATGTTGCGAAGCCGTCCTGGTGCATAGGCGGATGTGTGGGTGGATGTGTGGGTGGGTCCACGGGTGGGAGGCCCACAGCCTTTCCACCGATGTTGCATGACCGACATTGGCTAGGTGCAATTTTTTGCTGTCCACCCAAGCGGGATGGAGGGACGAGGATGCTCGCGCCGCTCGTGCAAAATAAAGTGGTTTCGAGCTGCTGTGACACATCGCGATTTACGTACGGCAGCGTGTACGTACGGCAGCGTGCGGGATGGCCATCGACGGATGTAGACGTGTTGGATTTACGATCTGTATTCATTCCAACACATCATGACGCATACTTTACCGCATAGGTATATTATAGTTTGATAAACTGTGGTGTGAAGTGCATGGGCAATAACAAACAATGCAGGGTTACAAGCGCGGAGAAGGGAGGGATGATATTCAACTGAAGCAGCGGAATTGTAAGTGACAATATTCCAGATATTAGACTTATTGCATTTGTGCGTTTCCGTGCATTCGTTGTTGCGTGCTGCGTTTTATGCCCGCATGCCCGCATGGCTTCGTCCCGACGCGACAGAAAGCGTACCTGGAGCACACGCATCCGTACTCCCCAAGAAATTCAGCTTAAGCTTGTTTATGATCGTGTTTTCTGAGAAACGTCGAAGCGTATTTGTTTGGCTGCCGAGTTTTACAACTCCTCGTACACCTAGGGGAGTTCAAAGGATGGGCGGCGGGTGGAGCATGACAACGGATGACCAACTCATCCAACTCCGCCCAAGAGAAAGTCGCATGCCGTGCAAAAAGTAATTTATTTTGTATGAATCATTTGCAACCTGCTGAAAAGGCCTTGCCACCCAATTACGGAACGTCGATCGACTGCGGTCAGTAGCTCTTGGGGAGGGCATGTCCTCGGGACACGTGTAATTGGATAAGCTGTATGGCTGGGCGCCTTTATGAAACGGGCGGCAACTAGCCGCACGCCACGCCTAAACTTTTTTCATTAACAAGGTTCGTAATGCCTTGAGCATGTTCTCCGACCGGCATGCTTCAAAGGGTGTAAAATCGCATTTGCCCATACATTTTTAGATTCGTTCGCAACCGTATTGGATTAGTCGCAAGAGGCCAAGGCGCGGGGATCTAACACCTAATATTCGAAAACGTGCATAAAGGAATGCACTAGTTCCATCGAACGAGCGCTCTGCCCAAAGCTAATGGCATTTCTGGATTCGCTTCTGTGCCATGCCGCGAACCTTTTGTGTTGCTTTTGCAAAGGCACTGCACAAAAAAGTGCACATTTTTTGCTTATCTGGGACGATCAATGTAGCAAAAGGGCATTGGTTGTTCACAAAGGGGCCTGCATGGAAGATGCCAGGATGGAAGCCTGCCTGGAAGTAGCATCGCTTACGGCAAGACTATACGACATATTAGAAACTCAGTAAACAATTATCATTAATCGAGGACAGAAACTTGCTGCTAGTGATCATGTCGCAAGCTTAGATACCTGGACTATATAATATAATAGTGCTTTTTATAATGGGCCAAATGGTATTGACCAGCAGCAGGGTTATCGCTGCGGCGATGGTGGTGCTGATCGCGTTGTTCATTGGGAAGGCTTTAGCCACCAAGGAGGTTAAGCTACTGACGGGCAGCGTCTTCCTAGAGTAAGTCGTGGAGCCTTAATATTAGAAGTAGCACGGTGCGTGCGTCTGCGATTTACGGAGGCCTGCCTCCTTACTTTCAAGGCACATAACTTACTCGCCAGGCACGCGAGTACTTGCAGCAGCTAGAATTCCGCATATTTAGAACGATTCCATATTTACAACGAGTCTTAAGCCTCTCTGAATGCCTTGGCTTAGCGCCCAACCCGTCGCACCTGCAGGCCTGCCGACCCAGGCAACCCGCCTGTGGGGCAATCGGTTGACCGTATCGCCTACCCAGTAAACCCCTGGAAAGACATACCCGTCGCGGAATTCTTCCTGGTGGGCTTTGACAACTTCGCCCAGGCCAACGCGATACGTGATAACCTGTCTGGCTCTGACACTAGCTTGATCTCTTACATACCAAACAACGCCTTCTTGGTGATTGGGAGGGCGGACGTCGTTTGGGACCTCGTCTTACGTCTGAACTTATGCATGGTGAGTCATGTGCAGAGCGCATTAGCTGCCCTACACGCCTGCAAACCGTGGCTGTGAGGCATAAGCGGCGGGTGGTGCGTGCTTACAATGGTGGGTGTGAGATGACCGCCGGTGGCGAGTAAGCAGGGAACCGCCGTCTCTCCACTCACATAAGGATGCATACCCGTGCAACGGCAGGTTTCAGGCATTGTCCTTTTTATTGCGCTTTGGTCCGTGCCTAGTGTTTTCCATGGTTATAGCCAACGGCAGGGCGCCCAGGATGACGGGGCCATCCAACTTGCGCTCGTAGACACCGTAGCTGCTCATGGCAATAATTGTAAACCGCCTGCGCGGCTGTAAACCCACGCATCCTCGCAGGCAAAATACACCGCTACTCACAAGATATCGCCAGAGTGGTCCCCGCTCCTCAGCGTAGGCTTGGGGCCAGATGATGACTTGGACAGTCCCAACCTGCCAAACACTGTAAAACAGCAACTAGACATGTTGCTGAGCGGCATCCAGACTCTTAAACTCCTGTCTGGCAACGATACAGTGGATGCGTACGCTCAATTTGGCGTGCAAGTGGAAATGGCTCCAATAGCGACGCTGGAGATGGTGCAGTATGCTGCACGGTGTTGGCCCCAAGTGGTGGTGAGGGCCCTCCGCCGGAGCAACAAGTACACTCGCAAGCACCCTTGCTGGCCAGTGATGACACCGCCAAACGCCGGTACCGTTCTCACTGTGTTCCTTTGCAAATCGGTAAGCGTGTGCAGATGGCAAATGCATGTGCTTTATGGGGGGTGTTCAGGGTAGGATGCGTGGCAGAACCAAGGCCCTGCTTGCTCGGTGTTCCTTGCACCTGCGTCGTTGTTTACAGCGCACCTTAAGCCCACCGACCAGGTATTTGTACAATAGTAACATCGCCCAGTAAACAATGCGGCGATTACGCGAATGGACCTGACAGTTGACGCGCCCAATCACCGATTACGAGCGACGCCCTACCGGCCACGTGATGACAGCCGCCAGCAATTGCCTTCTGGTTCAGATCCCCAACACTCCGGGACTATAGCAGGGCGTCAACAGCCCAGCAGCAAAGTGCCGGCGAGGGCGACAACAGGACGGACCATGTACAGCAAGAGCAGCAGAGCTGCTGCATGCCCTGAGAATTCCTCACACATCGTGCAGCGACTCATCTTCCTTGCATCTCGCGCGTACTTTGTACAAGTTACGCTCCAGGGGGGTATCTGGTGAGGATCGAGCTCCAGTGGCGCTGCTGCTGCTGCTGCCGCTGCCCTTGCCGATGTCCATCCTGCTGTCGTCATCGCCTGGAAGTTTGCAGCTCGGTTGCTGCTACCTGGTCCTGGGGCCCAGGATGAGTCGACCTATCCATCATCCCATCCTCGCCGTAGCTGTACCGTGCTTGTGCCGCACAGATTCCTGTCTTGGTACCTTCGGCGATTCTTGCTTTAAAGGACTTTTGATTGTTCCCCGGACCGCGAACGGCCCTAAAACGTCACCGCCGTGTTCACGCCGAACTGCTCCATCCTCTCATCCAAAACTGTATGAACTAAGTGCTGTTGTAATGCTTTGGATTGGTGATGTGGCTTTTCCTCTCGTCGGGAAGACGAGTGGGCACGACGTTAATGCAAGTGCATTATTTTATTTGTTTCCGTGTTCTGAGCGATGCGCATGTTGCTGTCCCTTACCCCGTCTGCAACCAGGACCTAATCGGAGGCATCAACTGGCTGGCCAACCAAAATACTGTTCGATCGGTTTACCCGATGCAACGAACCGACAGCATGCATTGATAACGTTTTGAGTGAGCTGCTGGAAATGGATGGGGTCAGGGCAAGTCCAAGTCTGATTTCATCGTTCTATTCGGGTGGGCGCACTCTTCTGAGCCCGGGCAGATATTTGCTGTACGTGTAAGCACAGGCAAAGCTTCCAGAGGATGCACGACGTGGCAGGGTGGGGGCATGAAAGGGTTCTGGAAGGGTCGATGGGAGGTTAGGACCAAGCCCCAGTCCGCAGAAAGCTTCGCCAGCTGTTTTCGCAAAGCGGTAAGTTCTGTGTTGATGGTGATGGTGATCTACCCCTTTGTCGGTGACCGGGAAGGGTCGGATAGGCTTGGGGGTTCATTTATATATTTTTACTGGGGGGACGTCTGGATGGATCTCTAAGGGGGGGTGCGAGAAGAGTACGGGATGCGGACATCGCTTCCCTGGTATGAGAGGCGCTTGACTTGAAGGTTGGGGTTCGCCGGCTTGCATGAGGCCGCCTGCTGCGGCAACATGCATGCTGAAACATGCTTCCTGTGGGTCATGTACATAGATTCTATGCTCTTAGGTATATCACCCCCATGTGTAGTGGGTCCCATGTTGGCCAGAGTCAGCATGGCAGTCGCCACTTAAGGAGCCTCGCCCAAATGCACATGAAGCCGAATTGTTCTCTATCGGTAGTTTGTTGGGCAGTGCAGGGGAAGAATGGCGCCATGGCAGTGCTTGGTGCCCAATGACATCACCGGGCATTGCCTGCGCACCTCGGGCAGTTCATTGATAGTTGGATCCAGTCTGGATCCAGCATCGCCACCATCCACCCAGCCAAGCGTGCGCTCTGTAGGAACTCTTCATTCTCTCCGTCACTCTTTGCTTTCCACATCTTTCTTCGCTTTCCGTTTGCATCGATTTCGCTGCCCATGCTCGTGAACGCGCGTGGCTGCTGCTGCGATAACGGCAGCGGCAGCGGCAGCGGCAGTCACCATCGCGAGTCGTCAGGCATGATCTTCCGCGCGAGGCTGCGTAAGTAGCTGCTGGCGCTCCGTTACTTTAAATACATCCGCTTTTTGTCTCATGGCCAATTGATATACGCGCTTTCCGCCCGCGACTAGTTTATTTCGGCTCAGAGGTTGAATTATGTGTTCTTAGCTATGCGTGGCCCGGCGCTGGTCGTTGGTAACAGCGCGCCCTTTTGCAACGACAAACGGATAGCGGAGCCTTATCTTTATGTGGACTAGTTCATTCCTTTGGGAGATGCCTGATGTGGTGGGCAGCCTCGCGCCGCTCGTTGAGGACCCGGCGGCTGATGGGGTTGCGATGCAAGGCCCCCGGCCCTCGTGCCTGTGTATGTGGTGTTATGTCTACTTTGTTTGGCTAGAATGGATGCCTGTGGTGATTCATAGACGATTATGGATAGGGCAAACTTGGTATGCTAACCCTTTGAGAGATCCTAATCGTACTCCCTTGGTATGGTGCCAACAGAACCCTGCCGTAGTACTATACAAAGCAGTGTAACAGGTGATTGGTGTCTGGCTCGCGCGGTGTTAACAATTTCTTATGTAGCGCCCGTCGGTTGCAGCATGTAGACGTTGGTGCCCAATATCCCTTTCTTGGTCCACGGTAAAAACAAAGACTTTTATCCATGCTATCGGTGTATGTTTGTGCGTGTGCGTATGTCGTATATCAAAATCCTGATCCGCTGTGTGTTCTCTTTTTTCGTTCTAGGTTTAGCAAATGTGGAGGAGAGATAGTAACTGCGACGCATGTGGGTATTATACCAGTTATTGGTGCCAGCGGCAGCAGTACTAGTGAACATAAATCAATCTACGCAGCCAACGTAGAATCTACAATGCACCATGCGCAAATGTAAGGTTACTGTGGGCAGGTGCCATCGCTTGAGCCTTCAGCCTGCCCAGGGAATCTGGATTTAGCTGGGAGCACCGTCATCCCTTCCTGGAAGCAAGCTATGGGCGCTCCTTGGGGAGTCCTCGTATACCAGCATCTGTACGCTAGATCCAGCCTGCAGTAACAGATCAGACTTTGACTTCCTTACTTGTGGCGCCCATGGCGCGTTCTGCCAAAGTATCGTAATTAGCGGATGGACAATCCCAGACAGCCTGTTGCTCCCGCCTCCTTACCCCCTGCCGCAGTCAATCAGCTGAGATCCCTGTCAGCACGCATTTCGCGCGCACGTCATGGGGCACCGTGCAGGCTAATAAGGAAATCGGGTCCGATAGAGCCGAACAGGCTGCCGTAGCTGCAACTGTTTAGCCTTGGGCTACTGGTTATGGCCTGAGGTCCTGCGCCTGGGGATGCAGTGCAACCCTAGGCGTTCACACATTTACGTGCAAACACGGTCAAGGTGGCGAAAGTCCGAGCGGCTCCAGCGTTCTGACAGGAACTACACAGGTATTGCTCGGGTCAGAGCTCAGAGGGGGCATGTACAAGACTGCATCGCACTGCCGCGAGCTTGCAGTGCCGTATGTCGTTCTATACTTTAATAACAGACCGCCCCGCGTACTGCGCGGCGTTAATACTGCGTTAATACCACACATGCACAGTCCTGCGTTGGAGTGCATGCGCAGCCGGAAAACCCTTGGGGCCTTCGCGGGTGCCCCTGCCAACCAGCACATCGCCAGATATACCCCCGCTTTCCAACAAGCCTACTTCGAATCACATAGTTCATAATTGATTAGACCACATTCGTACACATTACGTTTACCACTGAGGTAGGTGTGGCTATGCTGCTGTCTCTGGGCTCCGTGTTTTGTTTTCTTTTGTCCGTGCTACGGGGTTTTCCTCCTGTTCTCGCCTTTGCCTAGGCCTTTCTCAATTTGCGCTTGTTTTTTTCCTACCTATGTGGTTAAGGGCCCCCGGTATTCACCGTATCCATGGGTGGGCTGTGCTTTTTGGCCTCCGTCTTGGGCGAGTGCATGCGGGTAGATTTTGGGGTTTTTGGGGTCACCTTTTCCTTACTGGGCAGCGCTCTTCCTTTGCTACGTCTGTAACCGTCTTCCCGGCCATTAGCTCGTGAGCTTCCTCGAAGCTGCGAAAGGGCACAGGCCCCCTGGAGCTACTGCAGACTTGTTGATGTTGTTACAGGGTGGTTAAGCTTCACCAGTGGCCTCCTTCCCGAGGCAATTCCCTGCTCTCCCCTGCTAGAGGGGCACCCTTGTTGTTTGTTGACCAAGTTGGCCAAGTTGTTCGAAACACTCCTGGTTGTATATACTATAATGCAGCTGGCGACGGCTTACACAAATCGTTTCCTGCAAAAATAGTTTTGCAAAAAAGCATCCTTGAATAGGGAATATAGTAAGGCGTCTCGTGCAGGAATGTGCAGTTTCGACTTCCATAATACATGTTCGCTAACACATGCAGGTGAGCAGGCAGGTAGGCAGGCAGACAGGGACAGTCAGAACGGTTCCTTGGTCGGACGCAGTTGGTGTGCGTGGGGCGGCGGCTGCTGTCGGATTTCTCCCTAAAAACCATGTTATTTCCTGACAGCATTGACACCACCTTCACCCGTTGTGAACTTCAATACTTCGCCACAACCCGCCCAATTAAAGATGAAGGCTGCTTAGCAGCATTTTCCCCGTCTGGGAGTGACAATGTGGATAGGCGATTCCGTAAGGTAAATAAGCGCATGACATGGCAGCGAGTAGTTTTGGTGCGTAAGGCGCGGCGCTGTAAGCTGCGGCTGTAGGTGCTAGGTCGGTAGGCAGGCTCTAAAATGCAACCTCGCCCGTCCCTGGAATTTTGCTGGGTCACGACATAAGGTTTTCAGTATTCCTGCAGTGGACGATACGTTTCAGAAGGTTGGCTCTATGTAATCCTCGTGAACATTATTTGGCTCACGACCTGCGCAGAAGCTGCTGAAGAAGGCTAGGCTATCATGCATGACATTGCATATTATATATCTCAAAGGGCGGCTTAAGTTTTATGGGTGCAGAAGGGTGCAATAGTTGAGTGTCGTTGGTAAAATGCGATTCAACTCTGTTTCCCGCCATTTGGTCGCAAAAATTCTTCTTTCATCGCAACAAGGAAAATGTACTTAAAAGCCGGGTAAGGCCTGTGGATGTGCGCAGCACCACGCGCAAGAGTTTAAATTAAGTTGGTTGCAACGAACGGGAAGTCGTTGTTGCAACCCAGCAGACACCGTCACAGGTTTCGCCAGCGTTTCAATCCGTTAAAGTAAGCTTGGTCAACACCTAGGAGGAAATTGTTAGATATGCTGCAATGTGCTTTGACCGAAGCTGTAGGTGATGTTTTGGCACTGAAGCACGCTGCGTTCTGTCGCACTTCCATACACTGTCCAACCGATAACGCAAACTATCGGGTTGCGGGGGCTAATATATCTATAGAAGGCATGTGCTATAGGATAGGAGACAAAAATACTTGAAAATTTCGATGTACGATAAGTGCCAGCATGTAGTTCGCCGCTTATTATTCGTGGATGCGCACTTGGAAGTCGACATACGGCAACTCGATACGGCGCTCAGCTGAAACAAATAAATTCGAGGTTGCGCAAATTTGGCATGTCTGTAATCATGTTTTAGGATTTAATACTTGGTGTCTCCCCCTTATGCAACACCTCAGCAATGGGACATCGCATTGCTTTTCTGAACGCTGCAATCGTCGCATTACAAATTTCTTTGGCTCTTGCCACCAGACAGGTCGCACTTCGTACAGGCAGGACCCCGGTCGCGTAAGTTGCTACCTCGAGGCGTTGCAATTATCAGGGAGACATAAGAACAAGCGCACAAAGACAATCACGTTCTATATCGTAAAATGTTCTATATCATAGGAAACCATGCCATGTTCAGATTTGAATTCCATAACCGTTTTCAGTCTACCTTTCTTTAACTTCCTCACCTTGTCGCCAGCAGGCCCATCGACGATCTCAATCAGAATCCGTTGCTACTCATCAATCGCACAATTTACCCACAAGATCCTTGGGGGAGTCTTCCCGGGTCGGAAATTTTCCTCGTTTCCTACGACAACAACACCCAGGTTAAATTATTACAGCAGAGCATTAAAGCCAGCAGAGGAATTATACTATCATACATTCCGCACAACACCTTTGTGGTGTTCGGACAGTACTTAAGAATTGCCCCGGTTGTGGCGGCACAAGGTGTTCAGTGGGTGAGTGATGACGTCGTGCGCAAAATTTCGTTATATTATTAACAGGTTTACGTTGTTGTGATTAAAAAAGGATACGCCGGAACAGTAAGACAGCTTCGTGCTTCCCTGGTATCCTGCCGCGACTCATACCTCCAACCCCAAGGGTACTGCTTTCTTTCCGTGATTCCGGCCCTAAACGACCTGCAAATGTCTTCCTGCATATTCGTGACCTTGCGCTAACCTTTGTATCCATATCCGCCAATGGCCAAATGCGGTTTCCCTCCCCTCATGTTCCGTTTATATCTCTTGACATATCTCTGACTGTATCTCTGTGTCGCAGGCCGACCTGATGCCATAACTCTATTGCCCTGCCTGTCTTAATACCCCAAACAACATTCATATGTTCCTCCCTGGGTTAGCGCACACGCCACTTCCTTACATCTGCACGCCTGACTTGGTAAAAAGGGCAATGTCATCCGCCGTCATCCTCTCTACCGCTCTGACACTTGCGTAGTTTCCTCTATTACAACACCTCCTCCATCCTTTCTTGATAATAATGCCCTACTTCCCTTCTCCGCTTATACCCATTTCTCCACTCTTTCCCCGTCTCCGCACTCTCCACGCAGGCAAGGTACGTCACTGCCCTCAAGATCGCACCCGAGCTGCTCCCCTTGTTCAGTCCCACCAATACCTCCAACCAAGATGACTCCCTCTTCGCACCTTTTGGAAAGCAACAAGGGGACTTGCTGCTCGACGGCATGGCCACACTAAAACCGAGCTCGCTGGGGAGTACTAACGGAGTGCGTACGATGCCGGGCGGTTTTGGACTGGCAGCGCCTCAGGATGGAGGAGGGGCGGATCCGTCAGGAACGGCCAATGTCAATGCAGAGGTTGAGGATGAGGAAGCTGTACAGTACGGTGTCATGGTGGAGATGGTGGCCTTGCAAAGCCTGACCTCGGATCATGTGCGGGCGGCAGCGAGGGACTGGCCTGCGGCGATGGCTGCGTACCTTAAGAGGGGTTACAACCGCAGTGATGTGTGCTGGCCTGTCATGGCACCGATGGGCCGCGACAGCAACATCCTGTCGGTCTTCTTGTGCAAGAAGGTACGTTGCTCTGATGTGAACGGCTTCTGTATGTGTGTGCAGGCCCGTGTGCGGCATTTCCTGCATGTATAAGCAGTTGCACGCGCATGGCACATTTATAAACGATACGGCCGAGAAATTATAAAGTTACGTACGTGCGTATATGTGGGCTTGGACCCGGCAAATTACAAGGAGGGCCTGGGTGGCGCGCGTGCTGCACGGGGCGAATCCCTTCCCTCAAACCTGTAACCTTCCCGCATTTTTGTCGGGTTAGTTGTTCTGGCGGGATAACGTTCTCACCAAGCCACCATTAACGGTTCATCCCACCGGTTCATACTGACCTGGGCGATAGAGGGCATGTTGGCTGTAGTCTATCCAGTACAGCGTGCCGATGCTTCCTGTGGACCAGGCAGCATGGACAGGCATGTCTGACTCTGCGGTATGTTGGCTCCGTCTTACCCTCCATCCACTCCTGCGCCTCTTTCCCGAGCAGGACCTGTCCGGCGGCGTGATTTGGCTCTCATCACAGCCAGTCACCCAGATGGTGTACGGCATGCTCCGAAGCGAGAGCATGAACCTGGCATCGAGCATGCTGCTGCAAACTGGTATGTCGGAGCTCCTTATCAGGTTACCAATGGACCAGGCTTTAGTTGGATTGGTTTAATTTAGATTGCTAGGGCAAGGGCCTGGCTGGATGGTCTGCCTGGGTACAGTGGGTGCCCATCCGGACGTCCCACCGCCCAGGGAATTAGTGGAGTGAGGTGCAATTTAGTTGGGAAGGGAGAAGGGACGGGGACGGGGAGGGCATGGCACGGGAGGAATGTGGGTTGGAGATGAGGGATGTGGTGGGACCCCAGCTTCGGGCCTGAAGTGATCCGCGCCAAACTGCAAACTGCGAGTGTGTAGTAAGGGAAGTACAGGTGTGTGGTGGTTACAAGTATAGCTAAGGGAGGGTCCAAACCCTGGCGTACAGCGCAAAACGCATCGCGGTTAATAAACATTTCAATAATACCATAGTAAGTCTTAAAATATGAGGTTGTGTGTTGCCTGCTTGTTTATGGTAGCAGTCCAGTCCGGACAGCTATGTTGGTGTTGTTACAGTGGGACCAGTATAACGCCTGTGGATTGTCATGTTTAGCATTGAGCATCATACAGCACCATTCACCATTACCACACTGTACTAAGCCATACGAACTTCAAGTCCAAGGCAGTCGACTTTGCCTTCTATAATTGCTCCTGGTCTGTCAGCCGAGCATCCGTTAACAAGGGTTCGGCAATCGCCGCCGTACCAGTTTACGAATGTCGAAGTAGGTAGCCATATTTTCCATGATCCCACCAATAATTAGATTTAGTTTTACCCAGGAATCGAACATACGCAAAATCAAATATTTTCCAGTCGAGACCGACCAAAGAGCCCAGTTTTAGCTGGTTCCATCACTCATACACTCTTCCCCAAGCTTTTACACAATGCGGGACAACGCTGACTGCTTGCGTATTTTTTGACCTTGCCTGTCATCGCCTCTCTCCTCCACGCGCCTCCCAAAACCGTGCACCACCTTTGCGTTTTTCCTGTGTCGCAACAGGCCAGCTGAACGACAGCCAATACGAGATGGCGTTCAATAGTTTAAGTCGGCCGTATTGGGACGCAGGCCTGCAGGGCCAGGGCGAAATCGTGGGGGTGAGTAACTGAATGGCGGCAAGGGACAAAGGGTGAAAAACATGTGGTGTTGTGTCGTGGGGAGGAGGTGGTGGAGAGGAGAGGGTTACAGAACCCCGGGTGAGATGTCTGTTTTGCAACTGCTGCGACTGCAGTACCAGTATTTTACTACCTCCAGCAGCAGCTGCTGTGGCACCCATTCACACGCTGGGCCTGTAACCCTATATCTACTCGTATATCTACTCGTATGTATATCCTTAATTCCCACAGTCCCGACAACCTCCTTCCCATGCTTCTTCCTCCAATAAAAATACCACAACCGCCGCTACCCTCCACACACGCACGCGCACCCACCCAGGTGGGCGACACGGGTGTAGATGTGGAGCACTGCTATCTACAGGATCCCGAGCACATTGGAGAGTACGGCGCACGGCTCAGCGACCCCTCCGCTGCACTCACCTTCAACAACATGTCTTACTGGCGCATTCCGGGCCACCGCAAGATCGTACAGTACGCCTTCAACCCAGGTGTGTCGTCCCGTGTACGATATGTATGTAAAGCGCGCGTGTGTGTCCTCTCTCCGTGCGTGTGGTTGTGTGTCGTGTCTGTGTATGTGCGGTACTGGGCCCCGGGCAGCTTGTGAGGGAAGGGTTGGCGAGGTGGGCTGGAGGGTGGCGAGGTGGGCTGGGGGGTGGCGGGTGGCGAGGTGGGCTGGGGGGTGGCGGGTGGCGAGGTGGGCTGGGGGGTGCGGGTGGCGAGGTGGGCTGGGGGGTGAGGTGGCGAGGTGGGCTGGGGGGTGGCGGGTGGCGGGTGGCGTCTTTTTTATCATCACTCGCTCGCCCAAAATGCCATGTGCTGTTTCATATTTTGCAATTGTGAATCACATAAATCGCCATTGCTCAGCCCTACCTGATGCACCCACCTAACTGCATAACGCCCAAACAACCAACTTGAAGTGACCGCCAACGAATGTACTAACCGCATACTCAGATACCGGTGATGTCAATGACCTGGCTGGCCATGGAACGCTTTGCGCGGCCAGCGTGGCGGGGGCGGTGCTGGCGGATCCAGCGGACCCCAACAGCCCCATGTTGCCTGGGTTGGCCACGGGGACAGCACCCGCGGCCAGGCTCAGCGTGGTGGATTTCCAGCTAAACTCGCGTTCGGGATCGGTCCTTTCCGTGCCGGAGCGCTTGGATACGGAGTACCTGCCGGTAGGTCAGATGAAATGTGTGGGTGGGGTGGGGTAGTATGTGAAGATAGGGGGAGATAGGGGGCTTCATTCTGTGACTGGTAGAAAGAAGGGGAGGCGTGGGGTGAGTGGGAGAGGAGCCAACCTCGGCAGCCAACCTCGGAGCATTCGGATCATTCCACCACTCATCCCCATACTCACCAGCGCCCGCACCAGCACCGAACCCCGGCTGGGATGCTTTGTCTTCCACGCGGGTTGCAATGCACTTAGACACGCGCAGGGGTTTTCCCCCTTAACTGGATACACGCTTCCCGTTGCCATCGCTCCCCATCCGCTCTTTCGTCATATGTGTGTATGTGTTTTCCAAGAGGTTCTGTCCTCCTTCTGCGTTTTACTTCCTTCAGCAAGAAAGAAGAACCGTGTTCATTCACGTGTATTTCCCCACGTCCCCTCCTTCCCGACACTTACGCACTTACGCACATACTTCATTCACATCAGGTCCACGTCGCTGCCGGTGCCACCATCACCTCCGACTCGTGGGGCAGCTACCTGGCGGGGTACAACACCAAATCAAAAGGTTCGTGAGCCTGGAAGAGACAGTTGGAGGGCGAGTTGGAGTGTATGCTGCTGTAGGGTGGGGCCTGATGTGTGTGCAGCTCATTGCCTGGGTGGCAAGGGGATGCCCTTGTATAATGTGCACTGTACCTTTATATGCGTGGTTGTGGTGGTACGGCCTATGTGAGTGATAATGGTCATCGTCACCCCGTCTGCCAGCCGCCATTATGTCGCCAATCAACAAACACGACAGTCAGTTTGTCAGCCGGGCAGTTCAGCCCATCAGTTACATACCAAGCATATCCGCTTACACTGTACCGGGCAAGAGGATCACAACTTCCATTGTTAGTTTTGGGCGTAGTGTTATGGCATTATGCGGATAATTTTTGGCAATTGTTTAAGTTCCCGCTCCCTTCCTTTTCCCCTTCTTCCCCGCCCGACAGCCTTTGACGCGTTCCTGTGGAAGAATCCCGACTTCATCTCCCTCCTCGCTGCCGGGAACTACGGTGAGACAGACCTCCCACACTGCCCGCAAAGTACTGGGCGAGGGCTCCTCTGCAAACTCAACCCCCAAACCTCTGGGCGTTGAGCTGCTCCCTAGGGCGTCTCAGATGGTATATATACACACACACACACACACGCACAGAGGTTTGTAAACCTGCCTGGCTGGCTGGCGTGCTTGCGTGTAGCTAGCGCATCTGTCATCTCTTCAAGTTCAATCATCTATCAGAAGCGCACGTCGTATATATCCGTACGCAGCTCTGCTCATCAAGTACCCCCTTTCGCCTAGTCCTCGAACCGTTGAGGGGCACAAGGGGTTTTGGGGTGACGGACAAAGTCTTTTTCCGAGACGGCATTTGACGTGTGTGTGTCCGCGTCTGTATTGTGTTATTCGGGGAGTAGAGTGAAAGCTTCAGTGTCTGTTAAGAGCCCATTATCGTATCCTGCAGTACAACTTATAACGGCGCACGCAACGTCTCGTAGCACCCAAATGACGGTTGAGGTCTGCCGTACCGTACACGTCACGCTTGTGCAGGCATGCGAACATACGAGAAGTATACCATCGCTTCGCCCGCACTCGCCAAGAACGTGGTGGCTGTGGGAGCCGGGTACCGCGTGCCGGAATCGCTGGGCCTTGTGTCGGGGGTGTACGGCATCACTGCCGTACGTGCCGGCAACACCACTAACTCCACGGTAAAGGGGGCATTGGGTTATGGGTGGCTGTGAGCCGGATGGAAAGGTGCCAAGCTTTAAGATTTACGTTGCCAAAGCGCACATAAATTCCCTTGCACCTTTACGACACGATATGCCAATCTTGCATGTGTGTGCTACAAGAAGAAAAATAAACTCGAACAAATGGCGAAGGCGAAGCAAGCCGGGAACTAACTGAACAGCAAAGCAGCGAACATAGGGGGGCTGGGAAGTCAAGGCACGGGGATACCCTGCGTGCGCCTGTCCTGTCCCTCCATGGCCGCCGCTTCTGGCCCTCTTGCCACTGCTGCTGCTACTGCTACTGCTGCTACTGCTACTGCTACTGCTACTGCTACTGCTGTTTCTGTTGTAGTTCGTGCCCGTGGAGAACACCGACTTGCCGCTGTTGGCCACTGTCATACCCCTGGACGGATCTGTGAGTACCGGTGCGCAGCGACGGGGCTGGGGCTGGGGTGGTGGTGAGGAGGAGGAGGAGGAGGCGAAGGGGGCACCCCCGGGCAGCCGGCCTCAGGGTCACGCAGGATGCAGCCAAAGCTGTTGACGTGTGTTACAGCTCCTTATGTTGGTCGCTAATGCTTTTCCCGCACCATCGCTCCATATCCTCGTAGTTGCGATGTTGCAGCTATAATGAGATCGTAGATTTTGGGCTGCGAGACTGCGAGAGAGAAATGCACACATGGTGGAGCATGGTGAATGCCATGCAATGCGTAAACAGTTGATCTCATATTGGGGGCTCCGCTGCGGTTTGACGCCCTCCATGTTTTGTTCGCGTGTCAGTCCTCCGATTTTTTGCTCCCGCCTCTACCCTTGTTTTCCCTGCCCCACCGCAGCTGGAGATGGTCGCTGCATTGCCGCCATACGCATGTAGCCCGCTGAACACGACCGCCGTGTCGGGCCGTATCGTACTAGTACTGGCAGGCGGAGGTTGTTCGTTTTACGACATGGCCACGAACGTGCTCGCAGCTCGTGGTGCTGCAATGGTCATCACTCAAAATACTTTGGCAGCGCCGTATCCGCCCGTACCCATCACTGAGGAGTACGAGGTGGTTGAGCTGCCGCTGCCCATGTCCATGATTTATAAGGTAGTGTACTGCAGATGGAATTGTACGATGCGAGATGGTCATAATACCCGCAATAATACTTTTTTCCCTTTTCTCCTTGATCTCTTTTCCCCGCGACCCCTGCCCTGGCCCCGGCCCCTAAGCTTTTCCCCCCTCTCTCCCTCCTTTCCCTCCTTTCCCTCCTTTCCCTCCCTCCCCCCTCCCTCCCCCCTCCCCCCTCCCTCCCTCCCCCCTCCCCCCTCCCTCCCTCCCTCAGGACTTGGGGACCAACCTGGTGGACTTCGTTCTCAACAAGGGAGGAAAGCTCTACGTGACTGGTAAACTGGTACGTGGAAAAAATAGATTGACGTGGAAGGAAATGCCTATACTGTATGGACGTGTATGGGAAACTGGCCCTCCCCCGGTGTCAGGATCGCGGCATGGACATAGCAGACAGCAGAAGGCATGGTGTCGCACAGACGCACCAACACGCGCATACACGTAATACACGTGTATCATCACGTGTATACAAACGAAGTTCTCTCGCCAGCTGTTACTGCAACGTTCCTAGCAGTATGTTTTGCCAGCGCTCCGTCTACGCTTCATGGTGATTACAATCGCGATTAATGTCCCTTCCCAATTTTCCCTTCACGGCACTGCATTGTCCCTCGTCACCCTATGCGGCCCACACGACGGCCCTTCCCACTGTTATCGCCCCCCCCCATCCCCCCACCCCACCCCCCACCCCACCCCCCACAAACACACTCACAAAACTCGCACGCAGATGAAAGTCGACTCTGACACGGTGGCGGCCTTCAGCGCTTGGGGACCAACATTGGGTGAGCGGTGGGAGGGGGCCTTACTGCGTGTGGACCCGCCGGAAGGGAAGGGAAGCCAAGCACTGAGATTGAGACCTAGCTTGGCTTGATTTTATTAGAGGAGCGGACCAGGGTTCGACACCCCGTACGGGGTCCGTAAGTTTTTGGCCTTTTTCCGGTATCCCCGTAAGGGCCCGTAGGACTTTACGGTGGCCCCCGTAAGGATTTTGGGGCGCGAAGCACCCCCGTACGGGGCCGCCCCCGGACCGGCCGAAGGCCGGTTACGGGGGCCCCGTATGGATTTTAAGGATTTATAAGAGGCCGTACGGGGCCCGTAAAGTCCCCCGTAGGGGAGAGGACGGACCGATTGCCGACTGCCGTGCAAGGTTGTAGTACCCTATAAAGGATAAGGCCACACACTTGGCAGACATAATTCATATTGCAATATTTAACTACACTTTTCATAATACTTTTATAGGCGCTTGGCTTTCACTGAGTGTGCCGTGTCCCCGAGTGTAATGGTTCACGAGAAAATAACGAAAATAACGATTTACAGGGCAAAAAAATGCAAAGCGTCACTTTCCACAGCGTTTCAGCCAAGGACAGTGCCCCCGTAAAGGTTTTGCGGGGGTTACGGGGGCCCCCGTAAGGTTTTCGGCCGGTACAGGAGCCTGGTACGGGGGCCCCTCCGTAAGGAAAATTTGGGAGGTACGGGGGAGCCCGCAAGTTTCAGGAAGGTCAGTGTCGAACCCTGGAGCGGACGTAATTAGGGGCTCGGGAGCTGCTCCTTCGCCCTAAGCTTCCTAAATCGCGGACCTGTCCTCCACAGTCCTATTCGGGCGGTGTCCTCCGTAAAGCCGCCACGGTCCCGTCTTTTCCTATCCTTCCAGCGGTCACCCCTTTTCCCATTGCCCTCTTCTCCCTCCCTCCCTCTCTCCCTCTTCTCCCTCCCTCCCCTCCCTCCCTCTTTTCGTCTCTCTGTAAAGACGGCCGGATCAAGCCCGACATCATTGCACCTGGTGAGTTTGCCCCTCCCCAGGGTAGAGCCCCTTCACAGTCCCCGCCAGGTCCTGTGTCCCCGCGCTCACCCCCTGGAGCTCGCTGCGTTGTTATGTCCTATGGTATCCTGAGATTTGGTTTCTTTCCCTCCGCACACTCCGGTAGCTACCTCTCCCAGCACCGCATTCCGACGGTATCCTCCCTCGTACCTCCACACACACAAAGTCCGCCGAATTGCCCCCACCTCGTACCCCTCGTCGCGTCTTGCATATCAAATCTTTTCCACTAATTCCTCGCCCTTTCCTCACCGCGTCCTAATCACGCGCAGGCAAGGACATCATATCCGCCGTCCTGTCGTCCGACTACCCGGAGAGTGAGTACCGCGCACCACCTGTGTCCGTTGTAATTCATCTGTGATTATCGGCCTAATCTCGGCTTTGGCAGCTTCTTTAGCGGTGTCATGTTAATGAGTTGCCCTAAATGGAAAATGGCTTAAAAAGGGTCATTTGAGAATTTATGTTCTAGGCGCTAAGGGGCATCAGGAATATCGGGGAGACATGGGGCCGCTGGGAGAGGAAGGAGAGATGAGGTAGGCGGTTGCCTCCCGGGAGCTGTCTGCCCTCCTTCGGGGAGAGGTGCCCACTGAGTTTCGTCATTCTTTGAGACAAGGCGCCACGCACCGGAAGTCCTCCTCTCCAGCCAGCCGCCCATCGATTACGCCCACGGGGGCAACACGTGCATTTGCACCCTCAGGGAATCGATGCGGTACTCGGGGGGCGAGGGGAAGATCAAAAGGTTGTGGTGAAGCTTGCTGCACTAGACGTGCTGTAGAGAGGTTGGGCAGTGTGTGTGCGGGTGGGAATGTCGCCAGGTGCACCAGAGATATAACCCCCCACACACACGCGTCGCGCGGACAGCAAGTTGGGAGCTCTTAATCTCTGTCTCTCTTCGATGCCGTTCCTAATAATCGCTATCTGCGCGTGGCGTCTGCGCTGTGCCGCAGATAGCGACTGTGAATACGGCAAGTACGGCGGGACCTCCGCGGCGGTAGCGCTGGTAGGTTGGTGACGCTGATCCTCCCGCCTGGTGATCCTCCCTCGTTGTTGTGTGCCTTGCGCAGCCATCATTATAAGAAACGGCTAGGAGTTGCTGGTGCACATTCTGTAAGCTGCGATGTGATCGCCGAACATGGTTTGCTATCATACGCACTTGCCGCTCCCGTACATACTGCTCCTGTCGTACTGCTTTAGCTGTTGGATATTTGGTTCATTGGTCAGCGCCTCCTTGTTGTGCTCCTCTCACTGCTGTACGTGCTGCACTGCAGGCTGCGGGTACGGTTGCCCTGATGCGTCAATACTTCAGGTGTGGAATGAGGAACCAAAACATGAAATCCGTCTCGGATCGGCTTTCTGCGCCCTGTCCACGCCCCCGATTTATGCATATGTGATCTCAGACATGGGCCGACTGCACCAGCACTTCCTGCACGGCAGCAGCGGCGTCCGTGCAAATCCCTTTCGATTTGTTTATTCACAACAGGAAGCAAAACTGGATTAATAAAGAGAAAAATCCTTCGATGTGTCTCTTCACCGTTGCACGCTGACATTCAGGTCGGGCTTCTACCCTGCCGGTTCCAACACCAGCAACCTCACAACGCCCTTCGCACCCTCCGGGATGCTGCTCAAGGTGAGCTACTGTTGCCTAACCTCATGTCCCTAACCGGGCACTGCCTTTTTACAAAGCGCAGAACCCTAACCGAGTCCCTGGAGGCACTTGGCTGTGCGGTGTATGTATGTATGTATTTGTTTGTGGATGGGCAAGTGTCCACTTGCCAGGAAGCTCGATGAAGCTGGGCACTGGTTTTCGTACAGTGTGAGCTCCTTCCGCACCGCCTTGGGGCTCCTGGCTTGCAGAGTTCCCCCCGGCCCTACCTCGTCGTGTGCTCGTGTATCGGCCCGCTGCATTCCTGCAACCCCATGTGCCTTCTCCTGCTGCTACTGCTGCTGCTATTGGCTTTTGGCGTCCGCGTGTTACTTCAGTCCTCCCCCTGCTGTGACAGGGCCCTTTCTTTTGCGGTCCACTGCTGCCCGGTGCCCTGTGCTGCCGCCTGCCGTCCGTACTGCTAACCCAACTCGTACTGCTGCTCCTGGCCTCAGGCGCTCATGATAGCGGGAGCCAAGAACCTCGAGGTGGGTCTGGGGCATCGCAGGGCAGTTGAGAGGAGGAGCGTGGTGTGCTGGTGGCGGAGAGAGCACCGCTCGAGGAGGAGACTAACCAGCCCTCCAACCCGCCGTCTCGGGCTGTTGGCTCGGGCGATACACACAGCACACCGCACTACCTACACGTCCGCGCACACGGCACTCCCCCCCACCTACTCACAGTTAGACGCGCCCATGTCAGCCATGTGGCATGTTTCCTCTTTCACGTGCCCCACCACCTGCTCCACAACATCCACCGTACTCGCTGCATCGCTGTAAACCCCCCTCAGGGCTCGCTGGCCATGGCCAAGGCTGCGCTGCTGGGCCCGGCACCCGACGGCGTCCAGGGCTGGGGCCGCCTGAGCATGGCTGGCTCACTGCCACTGGAGGGTTTCACCGACCCACGGGTCCGTCTACAGCTGCTGGACCGCGGGGAGTTCTCTCAGACAGGACAGAGCGTGGCGGCCAGCGGCCTCTCGGCGACCGGCACCGGGTGAGAGTCTGTATGTTTGTACATGTGTATGCCCGAGGTGGTGAAGATAAGGGATATGCTATTATGCTTTAGGGGCGTGAGAGGATGTCTCTCCAGGCCCCCTGGGAGAACCGTGATGTCTCTCCAGGCATCATGGGAGACCGCACCAAGCGTGACGTGTGGTTCTGTGTGTATTGCGTGTGTGTTGTGCATATTGTCTGCCGTGTGCGTGTGCTGCATCTGCTGCTTTACTGGGTGTACACTTCGATTCACAGCAACCCCTGCCATCATGGCGGCATGTGCAACCCCACCTTTCCTGTTGCCTTTCCCCCACTTTCAATCCTCAACTACCCCGCTATTGTGTAATGGCACTCCTCCCCTGGGTGTGTTGTGTTCTTGCCGGTTGGCCCCTACCCCCTTTCTTCCCTCGTAGCCCCATCTCCATAGTGTTGACCTACTATGATTACCCAGCTGACACCAACGCCTTCATTGCGCTTGTGAACAACTTGGACCTCCTCGTCTATGTCAACGGCCAGGCATATCTGGGAAACAACGACCAGGACGCAGGTGTGCGCGCGCGTGTGTGTAACAAAGAAGATGCAGCATCCGGTTTCTGGAACAACAACCTCAGCCTCACAACAGTGAACCATTCCCCATTTTGCTGTTCCTGCTGTAAATGGCCTAAGTACTGGCCACAGAAATTTATTGAGTTCCTTTTTGAACCTGTCCTCGATTCCCCTCCTCCTGCGTTTTCCCGCCGACCCGGCCGCATGATGCAGCTAACCCCGTTGCCGACAGCGTCAACACCGTTGAGCGGGTGCTGCTCAAGTCGCCTCCTGCCGGGGCCTCTGTCCGCGTCATGGTGGTGGCGTCGAACCTGCCCTCCCTGATATTTGACCCTACCACACCTCAGCGCTGGGCGGTGGCAGTGGTGGGCCACTTCACCGGGAACCTGCAGTCGGAGCTCAACCCCTTCTGGGCAAAGTGGAGAGGCAAGGTAGGTTTGAGTTTGAGGAGGGGAATGAGGCGGCATGTGCATGGAGACAGGATCCGTACTAAATAGCTTTCTACTACTGTTTTGCGTGGTAGTGAATCTGTATTGGATTTGTACCGGATTGGATGTTGGGAATATTGATTGGGCTGTTAGGAACGTGAGCAGCATGCTGTGCGACTGCGGAAGATGCAAAATGGCTTTGCACCGGGACGGGAAAGAGTCGCTGTCACAGTACTGAAAATACATCCATCCCCCTGGTGTAGATGGTGTGCTCGATCTGTTTAAGTGTACGAAATCCATTTTCCCAATACATGATTTCTGCCGCTTGGACCTGCAGGCACCAGCTGGTCCAACGCCGCCGCAGCCGCCATCCCCTCGCCCGCTGCCATCCCCACGCCCGCCGCCATCGCCTCGCCCGCCTCCGTCCCCTCGGCTGCCGCCGGTGCTCCCTCCGCCGCGGGTATCACTGCCGCCGCCGCCATCTCCCCGGCCGCCCCCGCCATCTCCCCCGCCGCCAATGCTCCCACCGCCGCCAACACCCCCCCGACCGCCGCCATCCCCTCCGCCGCCGACACCGTCTCCCCCACCGCCGACCCTCCCTCCGCCGCCGACA